CAACAACATCAACAACATCAAACACATCAAAAACAACAACAACAACAGCAACAACAACAACAACAACATCAACTACAACAACATCAACAAAAACAACAGCAACAACAACAAGGTTGCCAACGAGGGCAGACTTCTCCAAAATGGTAACATAATCAACGATCAAAAAATGATTAAAAAAATGTTTTTAACAAAGGAACCGCTACAGAATGAAATCAGCAGAAAGGTACATACGAAAGAATTGTCTATGCGAAGAAAAACTGGGTGAGAAAACGAGAACTAAACTAAGTCGTTTCCGGACAAGTCATCACTTGTCACTAAGGAGCAACAGGGTTCTCTGAGGTTTCACAGGTGAAAGCAAATGCAGGTTGACGATGACGAGTTAGTCCCGCACTTGTGACTTGAATTTCAGGCCATATCAGAGTAAAGAAGAATGTATGGACTTGGTGATTAATGACCTCAGTGAACTCAGCGAACGCCCATTGGAGGCAGGAGAAATACTGTTACAGGTACTGGAGATACTGGAGAAAAACTAGTCTGAGAGCAACTACAACTACAACAAACACAAAAACAACATTAACAACAACAACATCTACGACAACATCTTTAAAAATAGTAATAATAACAGCCGTAACAACAACAACATCAACAACAAACACATCAACAACAACAACAAACACAACAACAATAATAACAACAATTACAATAATAAAGCTGATAACAGCAACAAAAACAATAGCCATGAAATTATACAAATGGCAACACAGATGAAAACGCCACCAGCGATATAAAAGTTTCTATCAAAACGCCCAATGAAAAAAGTTGAAAGAAAGTGCAAAACCTAGCCAGCCAGCCAATGAATGAAGCCAACTAGCGTTATAATAAGTTGAATTTCTCAATTTTCCAAGGATGGCACACAAACAAACGACAACTTCTTACTTCTGTTCATAAAAATCATCATTATTAATGAAGCTATTGTAACATCAGATAAGCAGTACACTGAAAAAAGAGATCGAATAGACTAACCACCAGAGAAAGTTCATAATAGCACCACCATGCAATATATTATAACCTACAGCTAGTTTAATATTAATGTATTAACGATAAAAATAGTCATTACAGTATTATTAATATTATATTTGCAGATTATTTTGAGTAATATTACTAAACAATTATCATAGAAAGAAAAAAAACCTATCATTAAAATCGATAACAAGCAAAACATGCTCCACTCAAAAACAGCCTGGAATAAGTACTCCTTTTAAATACACTACAGATAATTATATACGTATATATATATATATACAATACATATATATATCCATCTAAATATCCATATATATATATACATATATATATGTATATATATATATATCCAACTTTACAAGTGTGAATACAAGAACGAACACACATCTTATATGTACCAACATGTACAAATTTAATAATACAAACCACTACATAAATACCCACCAATTGTAAAATACGCCTGCATCTATGTATTTGCATACTTCTGTAAGCTGGTACACACACATAAAAACACACATAAACACACATACAAACAAATGTTACAAGTGCGTGAGTGGTTAAAGATGTATGCATAGAAGGAAAGATAATTGCGCGTTGAAAGCGGCGGCTTGTTTGCGGTGGATGTTCTCCAAGATTACCTGAGATCGTCTCGTTACGTAACTTCATTTATTGGGATTAAAATCCACTGTATTCCTTCGTTGTTGATGATTATGACGACTTGATGACATGTATGGTGGACCTTGATGACGTAAATAGAGATGATGACGTGTGGGCGTGAGCAGGGCAACACGTCCGAACAACAATGATAAGATTTCCGAGCTAGTAGCGACATGTTTTCTTATCGACAGATGATTACTTGCACAAATCGAAACTAAATATTTTACGAACACAGGAAACCAACAGATCATCAAAAACGCTGGACTAACTTTTTTTACCCTCAATTAACTGACTACCCAACTACACACCTTCACGTCCAACTGCTAATCCACCTGATGATTACTTACAACGTGCATACCATACCAACCACCAAACCACCTACCTAGGTCGTCGTGCCAGCCTCTCAATTAACTGGCCACCTAACGAAGCACTGACCAACCTCTCCTTTCCAACGAACAAGTGTTAACCTCATGTCTCATACCTGCTAACCTGTCTACACATCAAACTGATGCGACTGCTGCCCCTTGGTGGATATTTGTGCTTCCTCAAGCGAATTCAACGCATAGTATAACTCAATGTAAGATCATCACATATGAATTCTGACTATCAAAACTGATTTATTCAAGCACATTAGGAAGAAAAATGTGATTAGAGTAAAAATTATTCCAAGTGGCATAAACATTTCCATTAAATAAATAATTGCACAATTTAAAAAAGGCACTACAACTATTCTTATATGTGCGTATATATGTTTGTTTTATGTATGTCTGTATGTTTGTATTTATGTGTGTGTGTGTGTGTGTGTATGTGTGTATGTATAATTTGGTTAAATATCCTATAGAAACGAACGAAACGCTGTAAAAACAACAAAATAAAAATCATGAACAATATTTCAGCACTATCAAGGATGAAAAAAATCGATAAGATAGCAGGGAGAGAGAGGAAAATAAACACGAACAAATGAGTCTTATTTATCTCCTAATGAATAAAAAGTTGAATAAAATTTATTTGTACGCAAGTTACATCTACAAACAAGTAACATAGAACTTACATACAAGTTGCACACACATATGCCATAAACGTTATTCGCAAGTTATTTATACGAGCTGTATATGCGTTGCATACAAACATTTTATATTTAATATACAAATATATACAAACTATATACAGACTATATACAACAAACTATATATATATACAAACTGAATATACAAGGCAGACATTGGCTTATCTCGGCCATTTATATTTTTCATTACGAAACGTTTATTGCTTGCTCGGAACAAATTGAACTTTCTTGAAAATAAACAAAAAACATCAGATAGATAGATATTTATTCCGCCGCTAATGATGATAACCTCTGGAAACGCATGAAAACAGTAATATAAACTGCTGCAATTGCAATAATAATTTTGTTATTATTTATTTATCAAATGATGAATGTCTAAACTGTTGGAATGATGATGACGACGACGATGATAGTGATGGTGGTGACGAAATTTTCAGTTGAGAAGTTCATTGAGATAAGTTGTCGGATTGATAGCATTCCAGGCTAATTAGTATCAGCCGTGTTCCTTTCTTTGTTTGATATCCACCTCTTAATGGTCACCGTCTGAAAGTTAATTTCGTTCCAATTTTAATTATGACGTCATCATTAGTAGCAACAACAACAATATTTTGTATCGTCATTGTTGCTTAAGCAATGATAACAACGAAATAACATTTTTTAACATAACACAGTTATTAAAAACAATTAATCATCCAAGAAGCAAAAATTATCACCATAATGAATACTTCCTAGAATTATTTTACAATGGTTTCCACGGATTAAAAGAAACAGAATAAAATTACGTCCTCGATATCTTGGATTGCCGGGAAAAACATGAAAATGTAATGAAAAATTGAATCGTAGGGGTTATAGAGTTGGTTTGAAGGTGATACAATAGTGGTTAGAATGAAATCAACTCTGGTCGGATGGAATGGAGAAGATGGAGCAATTATTGAAGAACATCTCGGATCACGTTTAATGACACATCTGCACCGACAACTACAATGCTATTCATCATGATACAACTACAATTGAACATTTTTGACGACAGCAGCAACAACAACAAAAACATCAACAACAACAACATCAACAACAATATCAACAACAACATCAACAACAACAACAACAACAAGGTCAACAAGGACAAAAATGGTGACAACGATGATGATTTGAATGACGATGAAATGTTACTGTAGACTAATTTAACTACACAAAATATATGTGGTGACCTTGAGTAAAACGTGCAAAAATGCTCAAAGGTCAACACCATACCTCAATTTTAAAGAATTTCAAACAATTTGGTGAATTCCAGAAGTTCACATTTGAATTATTGTTGTCGTTTTTATCATCAGTGCTATTATTATTTGTATCATTACTATTATTATTATCATTATTATTATTATTATCATTATTATTATTATTATTATCTGGTTGAATGACATAACAGATGACCAAATCTTTGGCAACCTGTTCGGTGATGCGATTCAATCTTGATAGTGATGTCCAGTCCGAGATGGCACATGGATCATCACCATCACCATCAACATTATTATTACTCTTCATATGATTATTATTATTATCATTATTATTATTGTTGTTGCTGTTGTTGTTGTTGCTGCTGTTGCCAACATGAATAATGTTGTCATTTGAATTATGGAGTACCGGCTTGACGACAACAGAATATGTTGAATGATAAAAGGCAGGTCCATCTTTGTACAACACTGAAGACAAATCAACAAAACTACTTCAAAGAATTTAACAAATAATATTAAAAAACAACAATAATTCAACAAATAATATTAAAAATAAATATTGATAGTTAATGAAAATACTAAGGCTATCAACCAACCAAAATTTGACCCATATTTGACCCCCGACCTTACGACCCAGCCCTTGCTCCTCAGGTAATGGTAGGCTGCATAGGTCACAACAAAATTCGGGTCAAAGTTCATAAAGAGACGCCACGTCCTCAATATCGACATTGGCTTCTGCTGTCACAATGGGTGCAAATTTTAAATTGCTACTCAAGTTATTGTGATTTTATTGAAGATGAGTTACGTTTCAAACAGAGAAGATTGATGATATTTTAAATGGAGGATGATGACTCCACGGTTATAACGAGCAAAAATAAGCAAATATTAAATCACGGCGAGTGACGTGACGTGCAATTTAAACCAAAAAACTCTTAAGAACCTTCTGATCGTCATATATCACGAGGCACCCCAAGCCATAGGTCAGGAAAAATGCCTGCAAATATTTTTCACATTGCTAACCAGAGAGTTAGAATAATATAAAGATAGGTGAGTGATAAAAACACAAAAATAAATTAATACAAAAAACTGCTTTCCTCGTAGAACATACATTAGAATTTTTTTAAATTTAGCAAATGAATATTTTATGAAGAAATGAAAACTTGAATCCTACCTCACATAAACTTAACACTAATGGCTCATGAACATCACTGCTCCTGAAATTTTTATAGAAAAACACAACATTTAACAATCTGTGTAGCAAAACTTTCATGATCTACATTTATCAAAAAGTTGAATAATTCCATGAGAACCAACGGTAGGGTAGGAAATGGAAGAGGAGGCAGACCATCATCCTCAATATCATTTCTCTTCTTCTTACAAGGAATCAGGAACCTCTCGTCAGCCTCCAAATACTCAGCCAGCAATTCAGGTGGGCCTCTGGAATGAGCTCCCTTACCAAAAAACCCCTGCGAATTCATTATTTGGTGATGTATTGACATAATTTATTAAGAGGATTGATTTTTTAAAGTTGTAGCCAAATCATTGTTTAACTATCTGGAAACTTTGAACTGGAGTGTTTCATTGCTAATGTGGATAATTTTTATTACAAATTTTAAAAAAGTTAAACAGTGAATAAAAATGGCATGAAATGATTTAAGAAACATACAGTGCTGAAGAAAACATAAATGAATTTTGAAATGAAGACTGTATCACATAATAACAACAATCTTTAAACAACAAATTATTGTTATTATTATTAATACCATTATCATTATTTTATTATTTTTATTATCATTATTATTATCATCATGATTGTTATTATAATTAACTAAAAATTAGTTCAAAAGTATTTTAAAGCATAAAATAGGATTGGATGGAACACAAACTGAACCAACTAATCAGCCAACAGCTGGGCAATAGTAACTTGATTCAAATGCAAAAAGTACAAAAATTAAATGTTCAGCTACACCATCAGTTGCTTTATATTTTAAGCTGATGCCAACTAACATCCAAATATTGCTAATATGAAAAGAATTACAAATTAAATAAATACAAAGTCTATAATAAAGAGCAGAACTAACATTGATGTAGATAAATTCAATCTCATCGAGATCATGCACCAACACTGATCCACCATCATAGAAACCTTTGCAAACCTTCCAATTATTGAAGGTACTTGCCTGGCTGCACTGAAGCGAGACTGGCAGTGGTTCCTGGTGTGCCGCTTGCGCGCGTGCTCTCTTACGCCTCGGCTCCTTCAACCTCACAGAGGGTTGCATCTTTTTGCAGAACAACTTTCTCACTTGATGGAGATGGTGTTTCAAAAAATGTTTACCTGTCAAGATATGGGATAGATTAGTTAAAAAATGGACAAGAAACACCCAAACTTAGTTTTAATTTATATTTATATTAATATCTGATTCTTAATCCTACAGTAAAAAGAGTAAAATTTATAAATTAAATAGTGATTCATTGTAAGTCTTTGGTTCTCACAATATGTAGATTTTTTGGTAAATTAACTTCTAATTTTTTTAAATTAGTTGTAATTAACAACGAAAATTAATACAAAATAGAATAATTATTATTTCCTAATAAACGGTGGGCCAGACAAACTTATGCCACAGAAAAAAGAAGAGAGTGATTTCTCCTGCTACAGTGAACCTTGCAGGCACTTCAAGCAGAAAGACCAGAGGTGTATCTAACTAAACCACAAAATCCGACAAAAGACCATGACTTCAGAAAACTCTCCATTTCAAAAATATATAATAAATATAAACTTTTCCAAGCTAATTTAGGAGAATTGGCTTCAATCAGAACAAAGCTGAACAGAATTTTGATTAATTAACCACAATTAAAATTAACCACGATCTAGTTGATTAAAAATAATCAATGAGATTAAATAAACTATTGAAAATGAAACATCTGTTAATTAATTAAATGACGTTTTCCCAAGAAAATTCTGAACACAAGCGAGTTGTTAGAACAGTGAGTGTACTTTAAACTTTACAGTGCAGTAAGGTAATCTGTAAACTTTACATTGTACTTTTACTGTTTTCTGAACAGACCTATAGTCATAGTGTAATGTAATGTGAAGTTACTGCTACATGTTACTCTAGTCTGATAACACCACAAGACCAGGTTTGTTAGGAAAACAGTACAAAATTTAAAAAATATGAAAACAACTTTGAAGCCAATCTTGTTTGTTAATGAATTAATCTTAATCTTATTAATAAAAATTTTAATTTAATAATTAATAAACATTGCAAGTGTCATCAAAATTTTTGAAACTAACAACATTGTTTCTAAATAAATTTATTTATAATTAATTGATTGACAATTTTTTTCAAAATTTTAATTTCATCTGTTTCATTACTGTATTAGTTAATTAACGAATATGCATTAAATTAAATTTATATTACAATTATTTAGCGAGTAAAACCAGTTTAACCACCATCACTACAGGCCAGGCTAAACGATAAATAAGATTTTAAAAATAATACCAAAGAAAAAATAATATTTAGACATAGAACATGGATATATATATATATATATATATATATATATACATATGTATATATATATATATTTATATATATATATATATTATATTTATATATTTTATATATATATATATATTACAATATTTTATAAATTCTACCGAATGTTTGGCGTTAATATGTTTGTAGATCGTTTTTTCAATTTTTCTCACTAAAGTTTTTTGGTGAACGTTTAGTTTATTGAAATTCAAAATAAACTTATTTTCCGAATTCATGCTGCAAATAAGGCCATATTTCGATTCCGAATGAATCATCATCAGTGCTTTCTGCTGTTTATATAGGGAAATATTGACTTTGTCAAAATGAATTTAGATGGAGATTGACTTTGTCAAAGTGAATTTAGATGGTAATTTTCATCTATATATATATATATATATATATATATATATATATATATATATATATAGATATATATATCTGTGATATAGAATTATAAGTATATGCTATATATATATCTATTGCCAATAATCAATTTAACATGGTCAAAGAAGACAGATGAATAACTACAATGCACGGATTAAACATTATTTTAAAAACTCACAAAATATGCAATATATTATACTGGATTGTCCATTATAAACATTGCTGACGTCAATGGCGACTTTAATCGCTGCAGAAAACCTCATTCAATTAAAAATTTTGTGAGAAACCTTGAGGCAATAATATCTGACTAAGTTAAAATACAATATAATATAATCCCAAACTATAATGTCAAGTAGTATAGTTTAATTCTTTAGTGTTACTATTATTATTTAAAGTGGTTCAGAAGATTATAGTCTGTGTAAGAACCACTACTAACTAATTATTGTTAAGTTTCTAAAACATCTTTTAGTCAAGGACGCACAGATGAAAGAATGGGATATCACACGAATTTTTGATATTTTGTCAAAAAATTACAAAAATTAAAAAAATGAACAAAAATTACGAATTTTCTGATCCTCACAGTTATCATTATCAACCTTTGATATTATTTAATAAGAAAACGGCGTAAATCTCATAATGTTAAAACTTTGAATAAAAAAAATTAGTAACAAAATCATATATTTTAAGTAAAAAGATTATAAATTGTTTTTGCACAAAAGTTTTAATTTCAAAGTGTACCCTGGAAAAAAAACGGGAACGTACATGCACCCCAGTTGATTCGATCTTCTAACATTTTCCGAACTGCTTAAACTTTTCAGAGTTGAATTTGTGAATTTGACCCGCTCGTGTTGGTTGGCCTCTGCTAGTCGATTGCTCTTTTTTTTCTCGTTTGTTGGTGAAACGTCATTACTGATGATATGCTGGCTGGAAATTGAAAACAAACCGTTTCCATTGGATAGTTCGTTTTTTGATTTCTTTTTCTCAGAGACTTTTCTATTTGATTGGCTGTTGTTAGCAAGTTGCATGATATTGTGACTAAAAGGCTTGTTGCTTTTGTTGCTGGTTGTATTGTTGTTGTTGCAGCTTTTGACGAAATTACGATTGCTAGTGTGTCTGACAATGTTTATTTTTTCAGAAATGTTGTTGATGATTTCAGTTTTATTGTTGAGGATTTTGTATTTTCCGTATACATTGTGTGCATTTTTTAATTTTTCATCATAATCATTTTCGTCATCGTTAACTCTATTTTTATGTTCCTTAAAACTGTTTTGGTGGTAAATGTTTTTCTTGAAATTATTAGTTGCTTTACTGTTATTGCTATTGTTGTTCTTCTGGTAAAAAGAGTTAAACTGATCAGTTGAAGAGTGATCGTTAAATGGAGGAGAGCTATAAATAGTTTGGTTGTCGGATGACGTTTGTTCTTGAAATGAGCCATCCAAAACTTGAAATTTTAAATAGTAATGCATGAGAATTTGTTCAGAAGCTAACGTTTAAAATGTAATAAAAATAAATAACTAAATTAGCGATAAAATTGAGGTTGATGGCTAAACTCACAGAAGGAAGCATAGATGACACTGATGATGACCGACAACAGGAGAAGAACACCAGACACGAGAAGCAAGCAATTCAACACGTTTGCTACTATTACACTTCTGTGCAAACCACTTCTCAGTGCTTGAAAGACGTTCCGCAGAACCATTCTTGTGGTCAATGAAACTTCAAATTTTTCTTTACTGCTCAAATGCGATGTCTCTCTATTGTTAAATGACAAAATGTTGAGGTTTTGGTTGTTGTCGATTTTGCACTTGTTGAAATTGTCGTTAGTTTCCCCCTTACTACTGTCGTTGTTGTTTTTGATTTGTTGCGTTAGCCTTCTCTTTTGCATTTCTTTGCTCCATGTTTTGAAGTCCAACTTGTTTTTTATGGTTGATGCTGATGTCGTTGTTGAGCTTCTATTACAATTTCTATGCGACCTTGCACTGTTGTTGGCTCGCTTGGGGAGGCGTTCGATTTGTTGTCGATCCTGCAGAGTTAGGACGATTTTATTTAATTTCTTCCTCTGCTCCTCAGTCAGCATTTTGGTTTTCCATGTTTGTTTCTTGCAGCTCTGTCTTCTTTTCAGCATCAACATTTGTTGCTGTTGATGTTGGTGGAACGTTGAAAAGAATGTGAGGGCAGCCGTTTGAGAGAGTATGATGGTCTCTTCATTTTTGTTGTGCAGTTGAGTCGATGGGAGCATCTCCGGAACATCTTCGTCCAACGTTGCCAACATCTCCCCAACATTCTTCAACATGACTGGCATGGTTGCGGCAACATTCAGTGTTGTTGGCACAACGTTGACTCTGCTTGCTTTCCTGCTCGCTGCAATGATGGATCTTCTGGACATGCTCAGACGCTTCCTGGCTGAGTTTCTGATGTAGTTGTTGTTAAGTAGAGATGTTGAAGTTGTCGTTGTAGCTGTTGTTAAAGTTGATGTTGCTGCTTTTGCTATGGTTGCTGTCAACAAGTTGTTGAACTTTTGATAATTTGTGTTAAGTTTATTGGTGTCGATGTTTCGGTCGTCATAATGATCACCATCACCGTTATTACTATTGACATTCTTACCGTAGTAATTGTTGTTATCATCAAAATTATTAGTATCTCCATCGTAACTGCTTGTTACATTGGATGATGAAAATGATGATGGAAGTGGTTGAAACCCTTTCCTTGCTTGGTGTTCAGTTGCTACAGATGCTGCAAACGTTGGAGACGAAACTTGCAACAGCGTGGAGGATGATGTTGTGGCCGACCCTGGATGTAATCCTTCCGATGAAGTTCTGCAGTTCTCATCATCGGCGAATGTAACATTAACAGATTTTTTTCGAGATATTTTTGAAACTTCGATGACGTTTTTGTTAACATCATCATTGACGTCATCATCAAATAGTCCACTGTCAATGAAGATGTTAATTTTGTTGTCAATATTACACTGATGACGTACATCATCATTTTTATCATCATCATCATCATTTTTTTCATCTTCATCGCCGTTCATCTTTATATAAAGTTTAAATACTTTTGTCCAAAAGCTCGTCTGAAGCTTTCTGGATGAATTCTCATGCTGAATCTTTCTTATATACTCCATTGCTATCATCATCATTCTTGCTATTGCTATCATCATCGTCATCATTGGCGTCAACTCTATCATCATCATCATCATCATCATTGTTGTCGTTATCATGTTCGTCATCATTTTACATGTCGTCAGGATTTCATTGGAGTGACGGGGATGAAGAATGAATGAAGTGAGATGAGAGGGAGATTGGTCCTTAAGAAGGAAACGAATGCTATAGAGAAATATACTTGTATCTAATGCGCGATTGAGAGAAAAGGGAAAAATAGAGGAGAAAGAAAAAAAATTGTTGAGAGAGAGAGAGAGAGAGAGAGGAATGAATATGAGAAAGAAGAGATTGTGGAAGTAGATATTATTGAGAAGTGCTTCGGAATCTTGTTAACACGTGGAAAATAAGCATGTTAAGGATAGTGCTATATAGACTTATGCCTTTGTCTGTATGTTTGTCTGCCTGTTTGTTTGTTTGTATGTGTGTTTGTATGTGTGTTTGTATGTTTGTTTGTATGTTAGTTTGTATGTATGCTTGTTATTAATGAATGTTCGTTTGCATACTTTGTTTGTATGTTTAACTGCATGTTTGTTTTGTTTGTGCAGTTGTGTGTTTTTAGGTTATATTTTTTATTTTGTTTCTCCTACTATAATGTAGGCTTGTTTGGTTGGTACGTAGTGCATGGTTGTTTCCACTTCTGTTTTCATATGTTGGAAAAATGGAAAAGTTTGCAAGTTATAAAACTGGTCAACAGTACGTTAACAAAAGTTAAAAGTGTTCACATGAAGGTTTGTTGATTCAACAAATCAACAACAACATTTCATAACAACTATTAATTAATAACTAACTCAGCCAATCGACCCGTAACTAAACTTACAACAACTACTATAAACCAACAACAACCTCATTTTTTGCAACTCAACCAACAGCAAATAAACTGCAACGTTATTAAAATTAATTAAAATTAATAAAAAAATGATTAAAATTAATCAAACCAAAAAAAAAAGAAAACAGTTTAACAAAAATTCATTAAAATTGCAAAAAGGACGACGACAAAAATTACAACAACAACAACAACAAAACAACAACAACAACATTGATGATATCTTCAACATTTTCAACAACAACATTAAAAGCATCAACATCACAAGACACGCGCAACAACATCCAACTTTACACGCCACATCCCTTCCAGCTCTTCCAACAACAACAACAACAACGATGTCAATATCATCAATACCGTCTTTGTCATAATTTCTGCTGTTGTCATCATCAACAAGACATCAACATCATTATCACTATCATCATCTTCATCATCAGTATCATCATCATCACTATTATCATTATCACTATCATCATCGTCGTCATCATCATCAAGACGACCTCTCGAGAGAGCATCATGGGAATTTAGTCATAGGTAGGTTGGCAACACATGTATGCATGCATGCATGCACGTTTGCATGCGACAGGTGCATTTAAACTTATTTCGCGCACTCACTCACTCATTTATTTATTCACTCATTCATTCACTCATTCATTCATTCACTTATTCATTCATTCACTCATTCATTCATTCACTCATTTATTCATTCATTCATTCACTCATTCATTCATTCACTCATTCATTCATTCACTCATTCATTCATTTACTCATTTATTCACTTCTTTCATTCATCTGTTGTTGACTCAGTTTTAAATAAAATCTCAAACTACCGTACAAACAGCTGATTACGTACGCATCCACTCACTCACTCACTCACTCACTCACTCACTCACTCACTCACTCACTCACTCACTCACTCACTCACTCACTCACTCACTCACTCACTCACTCACTCACTCACTCAATCACTCACTCACTCACTCACTCATTCCCTCACTCACTTACTTACTCACTCATTCATTCACTCACTCACTCACAAACTCATTCACTCATTTATTCTCTCACCCACTCATTCATACACTTATTCATGCATTCAATCATTTGTGGTGCAGTTACAAATCTAAAATACCTGGCATAAAAATGTAATGTACGGACGTGTTAGTTAGTTTGTATTGTATATTAACCCCGCATATATAAATAACAATCATTATTAATATGAAACAATCAAATAAACTCACACACACACATACGTATATACACATACACACACAAACACACACACACATATATATATATATATCTGTGTCATCTATACATATATATATATGTATATTAATATAGTTATATATATATATATATTGTTATATGTGCATAAAGCAATAGACGTTTGCATTTATAATGTTCATTTTGTATCGATCTATTGTTTTTTTTTTATTTTACGAGCGTATTGTATGTAGTGTTACCGTCGGAGTGAACCACATGTTGGTTGGGATATGTATGTACAATACAATACAGTACAGTTGATGTTTTGTCGGATTGGAGATATCTATTGAACTAGATTTTGTGTTAAATTTTGTTTTTGATAACGTGAAGACGATGACGTAATAAAGTACTGATGACATCTCCTTATCATGTTGAAAGTATTACATTGTTCTGAATGATGCTATACGTTTTCGCAACTGAAGTCGATGGATTCAGGAGCATGTAAATAAAATTTATCATCATAAAAACATAAACTGAAACACATATATACGTATACTTGTATCTGTAGTGTTAACAAACTACACCAGATACGTGTTTGGCTGATTTCGCTATGGCGATTCCCTTCAAACCTATCTTTATTTAGGATTTTATTCGGTGGATTTTCAAAATAATTTCATAACTTAAAAAGAATTCTTCCAGAGAAAGTTGTAACTAATGTTTTCCAAAGTTGACTGAAGTATTTTTTAAATTTAATTAACAAGACATCCAACCGCAACCAGCCATTAAGTAACTTTTCTTGCAAAAATGCCAGGTTAGTTGGTGTTCGGTTGATCAATTGATTGATTGGTTGACTGACTGACTGACTGACTGACTGACTGACTAACTGGCTGGCTGGCTGGCTGACTGACTGGCTGGCAGACCGACCGACCGACTGATTGATTATCCAATCAAGTCAATATTGTTGAACGACTGAATGCTTATGATGTTTGGCGAAATGATGTTAACGTTGACGGATATTACGTTCGCGGATACACATGCATACATTTAAAAATTAGGACAATGTTGATAAGAACTTCTTGCTAGGAACCATCCAATATTTCAACAACCCTTCGAATTATCAAACATGAACCATTCTTGTCTTCACTATCATACATTTATTTATATTTTAACACATGTGACAACCAAAAATTAGAATTTAAATGAAAATTTAAATTTAAAAATCTCCGGAAAGATTCCGAAGCCGAACTCTCAAACGATCTGACGGACATCTACCAGGGTATCCTCAGGAATGATTTGTCACTGGTTAGCTGCAAGTGCTATCGTCGTCATACCGTCATTATTTGATATCATCATTATTTGATATCATCATTATTTGATATCATCATTATTTGATATCATCATTATTTGATATCATCATTATTTGATATCATCATTATTTGATATCATCAATAGTTTGATACCATCATTGTTTGATATCATCATTATTTGATATCATCATTATTTGATATCATCATTGTTTTATAATCCCATCATTGTTTGATATCATCTTCACCATATTGTTATCACCATTTGATGCTAATGATTGTCACGTTGTCAACATGACGAGAAGCATTTATTTTCTGATGATGAAGATTGAAGATTGAGATGATGACGATGATGATAACATATTGATGATAGTAGCAGCAATAAATTCAAAAAAATATATATAATCACCATCAACTGAGAGTTTAAAAAATGTTGTTTTAATAATAATGTCAAGCATAACGTGTACTTAATTTAAATAATCCAAAGAAACGTTTTAAAATGGGCACCCACAGTTGCAGAAAGGAGTGAACAACAGAGCTAACGTGAATTTGAGCTTCAAAGGAGAGTCGAACGTCCAACACATCGGAATGACCCCGCTAGCACTGGCCGCTGCCCTCAACAAAATCGAAGTGGTCAAGGTTAGGAGTCAGCCGATGAAAGGAGCTTGTTTGTTTTTGGAGCTGGTGTGTTGGGAAATGATGGGATGCTGAAGTCTGTGCGAGTGACCGCGGCAATGGAAGTAATGACGAAGATGGATGGATGGCTGAGACAGAAAAAGTTTGATGAATAACAAAAATAATAATTACTATGTCGGTCATAGTTTCAATTGTGTAAATGAATCTGGCTGGAGAATGAATAACATTAACAACAAAATATTTTAAAACAAATTGCAATATCAACTGTGACCTTCTTGCAGTCGGTAGGGTAATTTTAATTTTCGTTCCAACCAACTAACCAACAACATCATCATAAACTTGATCATGAGAATTATCATTAACTGACAGTTCTTGCTGGACAACGACGCCAACATCAACGACACATTTGCCAGCCTGCGCACGACAGCCCTCATGACGGCCTCTTTCCACGGCCACTCCCCCATCGTCTCCCTGCTTGTCCAGAGGGGGGCCAACGTGCAGGCCATCGATCTTCAGGGCAGCACTGCTCTCGGATATGCATTCGGAGGTGCAGTTCAGTTGCTGTGAAGATTTAATAACCTTCATCAATGTTATATTATTTCAATTAAGTGTCATCATATATTTTTTTGTGTGAAGCACCCGTTGCTGCTTGCATCATTAGAATGATTTTTTTCGCGATTGATGCAATTGCCATTTAATTGTTAATGTTTGCATAAAAGTTCATTTGTAACGTCTGGAAGTGAGAGTGGGGTGTGTTTAGAGGAAGAGTTGGAGCGTTGAAGTATGATGGCTTGCCCTCTTGATGCACCGTACTTCAATTTTTATTAATTGGAGATATTTTCAACGAAGTTTGTAGCAGTTACAATAGTAACAATTATAAACCACATTGATATGATTGCGTTCGTGTGAGTGTAAAACGAAGTACAACCGGGTAAGCTGCAGTAATTTAAACCTCGATCGATACATCGGAATATTGATTGTTCATCTTGCTTGCTTGATACGAGACTGAGCATTTGATAGATGAATGTCACATTATTATTTGCATGCGTTCGTGTTATTTTCCTTACCACGTATACATTTGCTAAGACTTGTTGAGTCTCTTATAGTTTCAGACATAACTTGCAGATTCGGCGAATATGAACAACCCACCTGTTCAAATATTTGCAAAGATATTTCAACATTTCATCACAAGAAACACACAGCACACTTGCAACCACAAAAACACAAACACACCGACGCACGAACCAGGAAGTCGATCGGTGGAAGTGATCAAGTTGTTGCTGCTGAACGGCGTGAACATCAACCAGAAGAACATGCTGGGAATGAACGCCCTGCTGCTGGTGGCTGGCTACGGTGACGACAACCTGGTGAGGATGGTGCTGGACGCCGGAGCCGACCCCAACTCCATCAACGACTTCGGACACTCAGCGCTGCATCTCGTCATCGTCGGCAAGAGGTCGCAACTCAAAAAGCTGGCAACCGGATCCAAGAGTGGAGGCAAAGTGGTGAGGTGGTTGGTGGGTTGGTGTTTATATATATATGTACACATACATATCCATATAATTTTGAGAGCAACTTAGAAATGCATAATAATTATTATTATTAATATTTTGTTTATGTATGCATGTCGATTTGTTTTCATGCTTTATATAATGCATGTTTCACTTAAAAGGCTATAATGTATTCATTGATTTATTTATGTTCTCATTCGTTTATTTGTTCGTTCGGTCAATCCAAGGTTTTTTCATTCATTCGCATCACATTTTCAGTTTTCAATTGTATATTACTGTTACTTTTTATATTACGACTTGTTCATAGCAATGCTGTAAGAGATGTAGAGTAAATACTAAATATACGTTATAAAGAAAGTAGAAAACATGAATTAGTTGTAGCGTTAAATCTGTGAGCAATTTGAAAATTATTGATCAATGTTTAAATGCGTCTGGAGTTTTCAATGGAATGAACCGTACAATGCACATGTACAAACACAGTTAGTACATATAACTGACGTCCTTATAACGACACGAAATCGTGTCGTTATAAGGACGTCAGTGAACGATGAAACTAGCAGCCGCTCCTGAACTTTCCAACTATTTTGGCGCTAACACAAATTTTAACGCTCCTGTCATGGATATATAACTCAAAGATTAATCTGATATTCGTGAAGTGCTTGACGCTGATGTGCTGATTTCTTCGACTTGAAAGGCATTTGTAGGGCGTGCCTGGTCTGTTCATCTTCATAAATTTATTCCGTTGTATATGTCAGCAATATCCATCACAAATAGACCGCAATAATACACATTCTTTTGTAAATCTGTACAGATGTAAAATTGATAACCATAGAAGCATCGATTTTTACAGTTCTTAGGTTCAGAGGCAGATATACTTAACAGTATTCGGTTCACTCATATTTCATTTTCACTGTTACGCTTACAATTTAATTAATTATCAGGTCAAATTGAATTCAAATAAATTTAATTATGCCTTTTGTGAACAAGAACAAAATTAATTTGAAATTTTTCCGTTAAATAGTAACTTTTTGGACAACTAATGTACTTTGCTTTAACGTTCAGTGCAAGAACTCAACGTTTAGAATAAAGTTTGAAATAATGCATATTTAATTTTGGTGGCATGATTTCAAAATAAACATTTCCAGAACATCGACAACTTCAACAATCTGAAATTTCCTGAAGTAGCATTGAAAGACTGGGCGGCCAAGCATAGGAGCATGCAAGTAGAAAACAAAAAGTTAGAAAAAGCAGCTAACTTAATGACGAATATTGGGTCGAAAATGCAGAGAACGTTTCTGAAAACGCCAGACGATAACGATCAGGTTGCAATTACGTGGTGCTAAACTTAATGATTTAAAAAAAAATAATTTGCTGCAATACAATTGAACAACGTTGTCGCAATGCCTATTGTACATAAACAATTTATGTTTATGAGTTTAATTGTTAACATTTCATTTTTATATACTTTGAATTAACTTTTTTCAGGAAGTTATAAAACAGCGAGTGGAGGCTGTGTGGTTGTACAGACAAGAGAAATTACTTGCAAATAAGAAAAGTTCAAAGAAGTCAGGTAAATTTGAAGGTTTTTTAACTTGTGGGGGCAAAAAAAATAAAGACGAAAAAGATTTGAGCAACCAGCCGTATTTAGCAGCACCAAGCCGCTCATCAAAACGAATGAACGTGGAGAAAGAAATTGAAATTTCCGAATTACGAGAGAGGTTTGCACGGATCCTCACTATGATCGTCGACGCTGGATGCTTAGTTGAAACAACAGAAAAAACTTTTGGAATGACTGCTCTGGACATGGCGATTCTTTTAGAAGATGTTGATTCCACCGGAGTGTTGCTTGCACGAGGTGCTGACCCAGAACATTTGTTGAAAATGTTTGCACTGTCCGATCTCCATGAAGCTATATCGTCTGGTGACAAAAAGTTAGTTGAAAAACTTCTGGCGTACGATTCGGACCTCAATATTGATCGGCCTTTTTCATTGTTCAACGTTGACTCGAAGATACAAGATGATGAAGATGTAGGCAGTGTTGTGATATGCGACGGCATGACTCCTCTAGCAGTGGCCGTTCAAATGCCTGAAGACGAGGGGCATGCTCTTAAAATCGCTAAAGTTCTCATAAAAAACAGTTGAGTTGATGTTGTTGGTGCCAGGGTGTCGGAGTCGGATAAAAAACTTTCCAACTCCGACTTCTTGATTTAAAATTTTCCTTCTCTGACTCGCGACTCCGGAATCCAGCTTCCAGAAAAATTTGTAAACTTAAATACCATTACTTAATGAAAAATATTTCTAAACATTTAAAATCAGTCAATTTAATTGTTTATTTTCTGTAAAATTATTCTATATTAATGTCTTAATAAATACTGAAAAATAATAATATCAATCTTTCCATTATGAGCAGAGCTTAATGATCGTAGCTGAACATATAAATGTCGTTTTTTGCAGCATCGCACGATGCAAATTTCATAGTTAACATATTTCATAACAGCACTGAAATGTTTTGTATGAATAAATATTTTCAATAAAGTAAAACAAGGCGGTTGACACTGGTGTCAGGATCTAAGGTGAAACGCAATTTTGCAAACTTTTTCTTAAATAAATACAGCTTATTCAAATTTGATATATCACCGGGGACAAATTTAGGCCATATTGAAATATGTTAATAATTTATTCAAGTGAATTAATTAATTGGTTTTGCTGGTACCCTCATAGTAGCTTTATTAATTTGTAAAATTTTTATTTAATTTTGATTTATAACTGTAAGAAGCTAACTGACATTTGTTAAAAAATCAATATAGAATTTGAACAATTTTGTCTAAATCCGTTAAAGCTTGTTGAATCAACAAAGAATTCAATTGGTTCATTAATGCAAACTGGATTTTACTAGCCGAACAATTTATTCAATACTTGTAAATTGTGAATTTTTTTAAACAATGTATAAATTTTGTGATGTATGGTTTCAATGATATTCCCAGAAAAATTATTCAAATGTAGTTTTTTATGTTGCACAACGGTAGAAGCTGACGTGAACAAAATAGAATCCGGAGGAAGCAGTCCGTTAATGGAAGCCACAAGGATTGGCAACCTGCACATGTGCGAATTGTTGGTTTCTAACGGGGCCGACGTGAATCAGCCGTGCCCCAACTACAACAACGCCACTCCAATCATCATCGCAGCCATTTTTAATAGGGCAGAAGTTGCTTCTTTCCTATCTGACGTTAGTTTAATTTAGTAAATAGAATCATTCAGTTAGTCTTATAAGGAGCATTATATTGATAATTATAGTAACGATTAACAAATGCCCATAATTTTTAGAATAGAGCCAAATTGGATTTGGAAACATCCGACAAGAGATGCGCCTTGACCGAAGCCTTCCGTAACGACAATTTGAAAATAGTTGAAACCGTGTTAAGAGGTAGTTTGGGTCAGTCATTTGCTGATCGGACCAGTTTTACTTACAGCATGGTCGTCAAATATCAGAGGCCCGACAAAAGTTTGTACAGCTGTAATTACAATCAACATATCTTAAATCATCGTTAACTACGCAATAATAAATTTTAAAACCTATAACCAGATATGAACACAATTTTGAAGCTGATTGGAGAAGAATTAAAACAGCAGGACGAAGCCAGAAAATTGAGAGACGCAGAACTAAAGAAAAAACTTCAAAAATCTAACAGCTTTACGAGGCAACAATCTGAATTGTATCATAATTGGGAGAAAAAGAAAAACATTGCCAACAACTCTAAAAACAATAACAACAACAACAATAATAATTCAAATTTAAATAATAACAACAACAACAAAAACAGTAACGGAACTAGCAGTTACTCCGATGAAGATTATGCAAACATCAACGAAGTTAAAAAAGTGTCCAATGTGAAAGATGTCCAATTTGTAAAAATCGATGAAAATATCATTGAAGAGCAAATCCAAAAGGTTTCCAAAAGTGAACTTAATGCTTTACCGTTTAACGATCTGGAAAACATGAAAAAAACAACAGACACTTCGTCGTCAAATATTAACAACAATGCCAGGAGTAATTTCGATGGCTTTAAACCGATATTATCAACTTTTAAAAATACATTAGAGGTAAATAAAAATCAGCTCTATGAAGAAACAGCCTCAAAAGTGAAAAATGTTTTTGATGAAAATGCAAAAAAAATGCAAGAAAAGTTCTCAACTTCAATATCTGACGTCGGGAAAAGATTGAATGACGACATGCAAAAGCCTATCCAAAATCTCATCAACGATACTTCCGCTTCATTCAAGTCTGCTTTGGACAATGAACAAAACGAAGCAGTAATTTCCGTTAAACCAGTCTTATCTAATTTCCAACCACCAAATCAACAACAACGTTATCATCAACAATATTATCCACTAGAAAACCATCAACAACATTATCAACAACCACATTATCCAAAACAATATCAGCAGCAACAATATTTACATCCACAAAATCGTTACATAGACGATCCAAATGATTTTAGAAGCAACGAAGAAGCCGAAGATTGGGAAGATGAAACTGGCTTCCAAGAGCAGTACTACCCAGCATCAAGTTTGGAGAATGAAGGACCTGGTCTTATGACAACTCCCATTTTGGGACGATGTGCGCAGGTTCGATACAACTATGCCCAAGCAGATTTGTATTTGAGAGATGTCGTAAAAACTGGAAGTGCTCCGAGGTTTAATGTCAAATCGTCCCTTGGTCAAATAAGGCACCTGGATAACGTAGAACAAGATGAATAAGATGAAAAAAAAAGGTCTTGTGAAGAACGAGTTTTTCTAAATTTACAAAAATTGATATTTAATATTTTTAGCAACGAACAACGTAAAAAATCTGGCATTCTTTGAAATTTTGTAGAATTCCAATTTTTCGCGCCGAAGATTATTCAAGAAGATATTTTATTTCGACTTTTTTTGATTTAATTGATTCAGCGGGTTACGAGCATTTACACAAAAAGTTGGAAACTTGCAGAAACTGTAGAAATTGTTGGAAGTTGAAGACCTGATACAGTTGACTGGTGATCTGAATCCTACTTTTTCATATTAAGGTCATAGATCCATTTCATCAAGAAATTTCTGTTGTAAATAACTAGCAACAGTTTACTTATTTAAGTGTATCAATGAACGTTCTGGATTGGTTTCTATGTTCAACATAACATTTGTACGAATGAAGTTTTTAATGTGCGTGAGTGTTTACTGCGTGAGTAGGTTACAATACACACCAACCATAAGTTTATTTTGGAACGAGAGGACAGTACACACTTCATACCTGCGCATAGACCAACGGTGTTTATAACTTTTAATTTTAAATCTCTGGGACAAGAGGCCACCCTTAACCGTTTAATTTATTAATAATTTGCACACTTTTCATCGTAATATTGCTAATAAAAGTATTGAATCATTATTTTAAGTTTCAACAAGTTTCCATAAAAAAACGGTACACGCAAGCAGGAATACCGGGAAGTTACGTGTCGTATGTAGTGGCCACGTCGAGTCAATAAAATAAACTTGACATTTTTATAGTTGTGGATTAAATCATTAATCAATCAATCAATTAGCTTGTGAAGCGCTATTTCCGCGATGTTCAACAGCACTCCTCAATGAATTTTGAAAACAGATGGGTCTTTAGGTCCGCTCCGAACTTCGTAAGTGATGGAGAAGTAGTCAGAGAAGTAGGTAGAGAGTTCCAGAGAAAAGGGCCAGAAAAAGCAAAAGCAGATTTGGCAAGAGTGTCTAACAGAAGTTAAGAAAAATCGAGAACAAGAAGACGATCGTAAACCAGGGCGTTTAGGTTCAATTAATATATCTGATAAATACTTAGGAAATAATTGATATTGAGACTTATACATAAACGTGCAAATTTTAAAAATTATTCTATATTTCATAGGTAGCCAGTGCAACAGAACAAGATATGGAGATACATGAGAAAAGATATATAAAAAAGAGATATATGAGAAAAGAAAGGGGCACGAGCAACTAGACGAGCAATAGAGTTAAAAGCTTTACTTAAAGGATAGAGTATAGAATCAGGAAGACCATAGTAGAGCGAGTTACAATAATCAATCCTAGATAAGACTAACGAAGTAACAACAAAGAGAAGAGTAGGATCATCAAGAAAAGGCAAAAGTTTTTTTTTTATTCTACGTAGATGAAAGTAAGAGCTTCTAGCGAAACTATTAATCTGAGAAAAAAAAGAGACATAGTAGAATCAAAGATAAAACCTAGACTACGAAACTTGTGATAAACATCAAGAGTTTTAGAATCAGATAAGATAATAGGAGGAATAGTAAGAGTGTTTAGATTCATTAAAACAAATTAATTCAAACTTAGAAGGATTAATTTAAGAAACATAGGGTTAGATCAAGCGATAATTGAAGAAAGACATAGAGATAGATTATGAAGAACACTATTGAGATTGGATGGAGGAAAAGAAGTATAAATGTAAGAATCATCAGTATATAGTTGACTAGAGAAAGAAAAGTTATTAGTAATACGAATTAATATAACTGTTAAAAACGGACAAACGAGCATAAACGAGCGGCCCACACTGGGTTATTCAACTAGGAACACAACAGGTCAAACGATGCATACCAAACATCCAACGTAAGTCTGTTTGCTAATTGAGAAATTCTAATTTGGACAACACCTGAAAAACAGAATGACTACTATTTGAACAAAATATTATATTTTGATGCACATTCATAATACACATCATGATTTATAAAAAAAAACAACAACGTCATTCCTTACAGCACAAAAACAAACTGCTTTTATTTGTGACCAAATTTCAATGAAGACGACCTAACAACAACAGTCTGAAAGAACTTGCTTCATACTATTTCAAGGTGCTAGCATGCCATGGAAACTCCATTCCGGAACAATTCAAATGTCCTACGCAGTTAGAGACAGGTCATGCAAACCATTTATTAATTCAAGTCAATTTAAATTGATATTTACTAGTACTCCAATAAATAATTATTGTAACAGTGAAAACTTATGCTGAGACACAGTTTATTACTTTCAGCTCACGCCATTCGCTGTGTATTACATCTTGAGACTTAGCTCATACATTAGTACATACAGTTGAACCTGTTACTTTCTTCACATTATTTTTCTTAAAATATTTCAAACATAATACGACACACCAAAGACAATACAAAAATAATCTGACATTACACTTTAAGCGTAAAACACACAGTGGACATAAACTTAAGAATTAAAATCAATATTTGACACAAGCCTTCAAGCCTATGAAACAAACATGCACTTGAAGAACTAATAAAAAAAAATAATCAAATAATATTATCACGATAATGATAATAATTAAAATAACGTTACAAAATAAAAGTAGCAACATTCTTAATAACAACAAAACAATAAACAACATACATAACCAACAAACAAGCAAACCAAATTCGTAAAATAACAAAGACAGACAAAACAACTATAGCACTATCATTTCCACAATCAGTTTATCCAATTAGAACAATAAATTATCTAATTAGCATAATAAATTAATTATTCAATCCCTGATTAACATAAATTATTATTCATCATCTCTCTTCTTGTTCCTTTGACGAGGTGATGTCTTGGCTCTCGGTGAAGATTTTGGAGATTTGTCTGCAAGAAATCATCACCACTATTAATATCATCATCATAACATCAAAACCACCGTTATCAACAGGTAGTTAGTGCATACAGATTGAATGAGCAGGTGAGGAGCTGAGAACAATTGATTCAGAAAGATATTGATTAAGAATTGAAAGATACTGATTAAAAATTGAAAGATATTGATTAAGAATTGAAGGATGTTGATTAAAATCAGTGGACACTGTGTCAACATCACCAAAATTGCCACTTAGTGTCATCATAACCATCACCACCCAAATTTTTCATCCCAACTCACTACTGATCAATGCCTCTTTGGGGATCCAATCATAATCAACATCTCCCTTGTTCTGAGTTCCCAGCTCGACTGCTTGCTTTGGTTTGGAACCCAAATGCTTCTTCTGTGTCGGAGTAAGTCATGAAAATAGTCAAGTCAATTGAGGAAGAAAGTGATAATAACCACTACATGTACCCACTGATAATATTTATTTGATTAGTTATTTGAGGTAACCTTGAAAGAAGTGGCCAGATGATAGAAACCAACTCCTGCTAGGATGACAATTGCAACCAGGAAAATGTACAGGAAAAATCTAGTTTGAAAATTTTGTTTCAATTATCATTAGATAATGTTGTTGTCAACATAACATCAATATGGCACTACCACCAATCAATCATTTGAACGACTCACATTTCTCCATCAAGGCCCTCGTCTGGCTCGATGATGTTGATCGTGGAGTTGAAGATTGCATCTAAGTAGGCTGCACCATCCTGCATGATGATGATGATGATGAAACATCTGTGATGGCGACTGTTATAATTTACAAACTTCATTGAAAACATTGTTTATATGAATAAAAAATTAATCATGTGAGAAGGGAATCATCATGCCACAAAATTCTGAATGGTTGAAAAAACAAATCATCAGTGAAAAAAACTAAATGAAATCTGCAGTAGCAGCAATTTAACTAACGACATCCTTGTAGTTGACATTGATGACCAGGCCGAAGGGACGTGAAGACAAAGTATCACTGGGAATGAAACGATATTCAAAAGTTGCCTCTTTCGATGGTTCAATCGGTTGATAGAGTCGGTAAGTTGTGAACTTGGTGGAAAGTTTTAATTGCAATAATAAATTAACACAAAAACATCAACTAGAAAAGTTGTTCAAAACAGATGACAACTAAAACTAATAACAAATCTTTAACTGGAAATTGAACAAAAAATAAATTTTGATAAACAGAAAGTATCTATTTTAAATGCAAAGAGGTGCAAATACAATTTAGATGCACATTTTAAATAAATAGATGTACATTTTGAATGTAGTAACTGAAATCTTGAGGATATCTGAGCGAGGCATCAATGGTCTCCACAACAAACTCCTTCTCACCTTTGTTGGTGAATCCAATCAACACTCTCACTTCCTGACCGGCAGGCAAATCTAGGAAATAAGATAAATTACTAAATAAAAATCAATTTTATAATAAATAAATGGAAATATTCAAGATAAGTTATTGAAAAAATAAGTTGTAATTTAGCAAGAACCTTGAGTGAGAGGTTTAATGAAAATGAAGTTGGTCTTGGCATCTGGCGAGGGTTTCAAAGTTGTGTCCTCCGCTTCATCATCATCATCATTCTGACCAAAAAATGAAAATTGGTTAATAAATTTACTTGAATATTGTAGGTATTCATAAGAATGTCTATATATTCTATATTTATATATATATATTACATAATAAATTAAAAATAAAATAGAAATAAATAAATCTGAATTTGGCATATACACCATACAAGCCAATTAAATTAATTAAATTTTATTAATTAAGGAATTAATTAAGCTAAGTACCTTATCTGTTGTTTGAGCAGCATCAGAGGTCTGAAGAACATCATCCCCGTCTGCTGCTGGCATAGAACCATCTGGCCCCCCATCTTCGACCGTGGCATCCACGTCTTCTTCCTCGCCCTCGGCCACATCCATTTCCATGTCCTCATCTTCTGATCTCACAAAAACTGAGGAACCCTTGCCGACTGGTGGATTAAATTTATTTTAATTTTTAATCAATTGAAATTTAACATAACATTTTTAACAGAACATAAATATTAATAAACAATTAATTAAATTAAAAAGTTAAATTAACATCAGAACATGCTATGCCACGTCAAATTACAAAATAATAAAATCACCCTCGCCAAACATCTGTACGATGCAAGGTGTCAGTAGCAGCATGACGAAAAACAGATTCCTCCTTAATTTTTCCATTTTTAAGTTAAATTTAAAAAATTTAAATGTCGACAACTTAGTCGGTAAAAAAAACGAGAGCCAAAAAAGCCGAACGTAGAGAGAGAGATTTCATCCACGTTCAAAAAAAGACCGAATAGTTTGTACAACAGAATGACATTAATTCAAGCGCATAACTTTTCATCTAGTTTTTAAATACCTATCACTTATCTAATACTTTTATTCTATATATGTGTATCTAATCTATTGACAGAATTTCAGTATAAAAATTAAACTACAGCACTAAAGTATTAACATAGACATGCTGATAATTATATTAAAAAGCATTATGTTTATGGTTATAATATTTACTATATCATGAATATTTTACGTTTTGATATTACAATGGCATAAGGACCTTTGGCCTGAGCCCATTTACTTTATCATTACATGTTATGCTATAAGAAGGTAATATGAAAACGATATGAGGCATTTTATCTGAACGTTAGTCTGGAAGTAATTGCGTCACTACCATGTATTTAGAATACCGTCCTTAGAATCTACTTAGAATGCTGTTCTTTGCTGGGTGAGAGATTTGTCTGATTAATTCTGATAACAAACAAAACTTTAGCCTGCTAAATAACCTGCTAGCCTATTCTAGGTCATTGCAGTATATCTTTTTTACCTGTATAGCTCTTTGATGATCATGTGAGGTTCGGCTTGGTTGATATTTAGCATGATTCGGTAACATTTTCTTGCAAAAATGATGATGATGTTAATTTATGTGTTAGATAGCCAAAATCACCAGCAGATTGTCTATAGACATACGGTAACTATTACGAACAGGAACGGCCAAGAACTTCCCCCTATAGGACGCTTGTAGGAAGGTTTAAAAAAAGGTTAAAAGGGTTCATAAAAAAAAGGTTAAAAGGGTTCATAAATCTCCCCCCGATGGGTACTTGACTTTTCGATTGATCGTGCATAACTTTGATTGCATTTACTATCTCTGCTGGTATTCCATAATGACGTAAGATACAAAACATCATTTCGCGGTCAGTTGAATCAAAGCCGTTGATCAATTTGTTAGGCCCAACTAAATATATTATTTGAAGCCTTCCCTAGCTTAAAATTGAGACAATTGGCTCCCCCCTAGACTATAATGGTGTACTGATGTCAAAAATAAAAAGCGGAACACCTCTCATAATTTTAAAAGATACGTTGGTGTCTGACCAGCATTCAACTGCTAACGATTCATAATTTCATTTGAGACTTGGAGACATTCATTTTTATTTTTGATTAAATATGCTTGTTTCCCCTTGTTTGACAAACTAATAACGTCATTTTACGACAGCATCAAATTAATCTCAACGTTTTTTCAATATGTTAACAGAAACTATATAACAATATTATTGATTAAACAATTCTGAAATCTCAATTTTCATTCAAAGCCACTTGAAACTAAGATGTAAAAATGCCAAAAAAGGTTTTTCTTAGATATATAACTGAATGACGTACAACGTACTTCTATCAATTGTTTCGTGCTGAATAATAAAACGCGTTCTGTTTTCATTTTAACTGAAACGAAAAACACGACAAAAATGTCGAAAAAGAAAAAATCGTTTGTTCTAAAATTCAAAATAATCAAATTTAGTTCAGTTTAACCATTTATTTAATGAAAGGTGGAGGCAAAGATTGAGTATTGTTGAAAAATAATTATTTTATTTCAATTTATTTACTTTTAATAAATAATGCCCTTAGTTTAGTGTTTGTTACCTGTTGGTTGCGTAGTGTTACGTAATAAATAATGGTAACAAATAGGACAGACACTCATCCATCGTTCATTGAATTGCTTAATTTATTTAATGTTTTAAATTTTTAATAATGTAAAATTTGTAAACTTTATTTTCCAACTTCAAATAAAATATAAAAGTTTTACTTGAGATCCTATTTAATATTCCAAAAATAGAATTAAATAAATTTGTAAATATTTAATTTTAATTTTTTTAAAATTAAATTAATTTGTTTTTTTTTTTGAATATACATACATATAATATATTATAAAAACATATACACGTATAAGTATATAATATAATATTGTATTATATATATATATATATATATATAACCATAGCAAAGCAGTCAAATAATTGATAAAAAACATAATCATAGTCAATGGTAATTAATTAACTTTCATTTTCGAATAAGTAATATTAATAAATAGTCAAGTACCACCTTGAGTGTTCTTTCTATCTCTTATTTATAAAAGCTTAAACTACTTTTTGATGACAAGTCCTTTTTTAGGATTTTTCTTCAATATTATTCCTAAAAAATGACTTCCATTTTAAGTTGGAAACGGACTTCACAGTCACACATTTCAGTGCTAGAGGATCAAATTTTTGAATGTTAGTATTACTACTGCTAATGTAATAGTGAAGTTTTATTTCATGTTATATTAGTGCATGCTTACTGACTAGTGTTTGTAGGCACTACACTTGATTAATTTTAAAAATATTTATACCACTTTACTAGGCTTATCAAAGAAGCCAGAGGGACGTTATGTTTGCCTCGATGGTGATGATAAACGCCAGATATGGACAGTGACATTGGATCATGCAAGAGATGACAAAAACTTAACAACAACTGAATTAACTGGTGCAGATGAACAATCTCCTCTGCCCATGGTACTTTTGCATGGAATGGGTGCTGGTGTTGGACTGTGGCTCTTAAATCTTGAACACTTCTCTACACATCGGAAAATATATGCCATAGATTTGCCTGGCTTTGGTCGGAGTTTCAGAAAAAAACACAGTGAGAAATTATCAGCAGAAGATGCTGAAACAGAATTTATTTCAGCTGTTGAAAGCTGGAGGAAATCAATGAATTTAAACCAATTTATTTTACTTGGTCACAGTTTAGGAGGCTATTTGGCTTCTGCTTATGCTTTGCAACATTCACAATTTGTCAAAGGCCTTATTTTAGTGGATTCATGGGGTTTTCCGAGAAGAAGTGTTGATGAGGGTGAAAAAGATAAAAATAATACACAAAGACCTTCACTCACCTGGAGAGTTGTTAGATTGATCTACACAACAGTCAATCCCAATCCACTTTCTGTCTTAAGAGTAGCCGGGCCATTGGGTAATCAAATGTAACAATTTCTTCTTGCAATAAAAGTTATACACTTTAAAAATGAATACAATAAACAATATTTAATTAAATGTACTTTGGGTTGTTTGGCTAAGTTGAATAATTTTTTAAAAATCAGGCCCGTCACTGATCTCAAAATATCGTCCTGACCTGGTTCAAAAGTTCAAACACAAGAATATGAAAGAAGACAGCATTATTGCCAACTATGTTTATCACTGTAACGCTCAAGAACCAAGGCTTGTAGATATTTTTAAACTTTTTTGTTATTCATGGTCAGTTCTATGCCCCATCATTTTGCATTGTGTATTTTTTATCTTTTTTGATTTCAATCATTAGCATTAACTCTATGATCAATATCAGAATCATCATAATTACAGTGGGGAAGTTGCATTTAAGAGCATGGTAGAAGGGTTGGCGTGGGCAAAGCATCCAATGATTGACAGGATTGGCCACCTACCCTCACACATCCCCATCACCATGATCAACGGTCGTAAATCGTGGGTTGACTACAACATTTGCCATGAAGTTAAGAAGATCAGAGGACAGGGAATCGTCAATGTGGAAGTTGGTTGAGTGTCATCAGGGTTGTTTTTGTTGGGCTGATGCTAACGTGCAGTTTAAATTTTAAATATATTTAAGAATGCCAAGGTTGTTTAGCCTTGTTATGGTATATGTTCACCTTCATACGTGTTGTAGAAATAAACGATTTTCAATTTATGATTATAAAGACAATAACCTTGATTCTGACTGATTAGAAACTTCTGTGGAATTAGAAGTAAACTCCGAAAGTCAGAGGCGTCATTTGGTGGGAGGCAGGGGGGGCAATTGCCCCCCCCCAAGAAATCAAAATTCTAAATTTTTGCTGTACGAAATTATTATGACAAAATTGCAAACACTATAAAATAATTATATAAAATTATATAATTTATTATAATATATACAAAATATTGTGCTTTTTGAATTTTTAAATGTCAAGCGCTATACAATTTATTTCATTTGTTCCTACAATAATTCATGTTCTGTTTTAAATTATAAAAGTGTTAATTTTAAATTCTTTGTAAAAAGGATATATATAGGATATATAATTTAGTAATTTTAAAACTTTAAAAATTTTGAAATTTTGAAAACTTTAAAAATGTATAATTTATTATAATGTTGTACTGACGAGACTAGGTAGTGGAAATAGTACTATATGCATACATGTAGATAATGACATCTTCTGTAAATAGGAATTTTGTTAATAGCATTAACAAGTTAAGTTTAGTAGATCGGAGAATTATTCGAAGAATCGAGAAACTAGCATATAGATTGAGTACTGTAAGAAATGCCGTGATCTTTATTAATATATATATATATGCTAAGATATGTTACATGCTAAGTCATAGACCACATAAGTTCGCCCCCCCAACCAAAATCTAAAATGACGCCCCTGCCGAAAGTGTTCAGCGCTTACATAAATATCCTTGAAAATTATCATTTTGTTTGCTGGCAGATGCATCAAAATATATTTAAAATGTGTCACGTTATAATTTGCAGATTATTGATCATGCCGGTCACCACGTTTATGCCGACCAATCAGATGTCTTCAACAAAACTGTAAAAAAAACCTGCCAATCATACGATAGATTGTATCAGAAAAAACTGGATGATACGAAAGCCTTAAGTAATAAAGATTTGTTTTTGTGTGACGATGTCGATGGAGCAGATCACGTCATGAACTTCTCACTGTGATAGATGATGATCACGTGATAGAAGATGATCACGTGACTGATGATGATCACGTGATTGATGGCGGCCATGCGGTGGTTGATGATCATGTAGTAGTGGATAATGGGATAATGGATAATGCGACGAAAGGTTGATATTTAGATTGTGGAAGTGGTTTTTGCAAGGTGTCATCCATGTCATAATGATGACATGAAGATCATTCTAATAAAATGGAATGGTAGTAAATTATCTGGACACCTCACTGATGGTGACAACCTGTCGTTATTGTTACTGCTTTGTGTTTCTAACTGGAATGATATATTTCTTACGGCATTGCAAATAAAAAATAATTTTATAATAAAATTTGTTAAAGTTCTCCAATTGTTGGTTGATATTTTACATTTGTTTGTAAAATTGATGATATTTAATCTAAACTTTTGTTAGACAAATAAAATATATTTTTCTAACGTTAAAAAAACACTTGAATTGTATTTTAACTAGACTAGCTTATTAATGTGAGTTCTGAGTTGTTTTATGCATTAAACTGTGTTCACTGATGCCCATTAAACAAGTACAGGACGCATTTGTATTAGTTATTGTTACAATTTATATATATATATATATATATATTATTTATATATGTTGAATATATTTATTTATATAGTTATTTATATACATAATACAAAATATATTAACAATGTGCTTAGATTTCATTTAATCGTGTATATAAAAATCAAAGATTGTTTTGTTTTTCATTGATGGAAAAATTATGAAAGTTGTCTGTCACAAATTTGGTATTGTTTATTTCCACAGGACTGTTGTTGAAATTTTCTTTCTTTGTTAGTGATATACACAGATCCCCAATATTTAATTGGCAGCATTTTAACTTATACCTGATTAGCGTTTGTGTCGGGTTGTATGAAGACCAACCTCTGTTGAACACGAAAAATGGATGTTCCAGTGTTGATTCTACAGTTACCTGCAATTAAGTTTTGAATTTTTATAAATTAACAAACTGCAGCTCATTTAACATTCAGAATTCAGATGTACCTGAATTTTTTGAGGGCCAACAGTAAAACTTAACTGGACCGTGTCCCTTTCAGTTATTGGGACCATTTGCACCACTTCACTAACGTTAATTTTCAAATCGTGGGAAAGGTTGGCACTTTCTATGAAATCTTCAGTAGTCAAGTCTTCAACTTTTTTCAGAGTCCCGTTCGCCACGGCAATTATGGAACCATTCAAGAAGTGGGGAGGGTAGTGTGGCATTCCAGCGGTTATTGCTTCCGGTTTAAAATTCTCATTCATTAATAATTCATCATGCATATCAAATAAAAAAATTAAAATAATCGCGGACTAAATTCTTTCGTGTAAAAGTGTGAACAGCTGATCCGAGCTTGCCGATGAAGGAATATCGTTGTTCAAGTTGATTTAACTAAAAGAATGTAAAAGTGGAACTAGGCTGTAATTTTATTACTATTTCACGTATTTCGCAGAATAAAATTTCATGCCTTGTACCCGGATCTGGCCTGGTTGTTTATTGTTTTGTAACACTTTATAAAAAATTAAGCGCCTTATTTATAGAAAAAATCTTATTTAAATGATCATTACACAAAGGAATCGAAATTAAGCACTTTTTCAGCCTTCACAAATGATCCTAAACTACCTCAACTACGGTCCTGGCTGCAGTTTACAATGCACGTTTGACGCTAGCGAAATTAGTAATGAGAATAAGATGAATTAATACCTGTACAATACACGGTGATCCATTAAAATTAAACAAATATATTCCTATTGAGATGTTCATTGGACTCGTGCTCGAATGCTGCAAGCTTAGAAAGAAGAATCGATTGGCAGACAAACAAACAGACAGACGGACAGATAAACAGAGAAATTGACACACAGAGAGAATATTGTAAGTTAACGTTATGTGTCAATTAAAAAATTATTATCTTATACTTTAAATCATCCAAAAATGTTTTTGGTGTTTGATAGCTCCTGTACGTTCAGTTGTTGCGTTGGTACAGTAGTTGAGAAGAGTGTGTGTTGCTGGATTCGATGTTGTTGCGATTGTTTTAGTAGTTGTTTTTGTTAATCTTGAAATGCTAGTATGTAACGTGGTAGCAACTCATCCAGTATTTTTCTAGCATCATAATCTTGTTGTGTCTGATGATTGTTTCCATTTTGTAATTTTTAGTGTTGGTTTTGAAGGGATATAATAGAACTTTTGTCAGATGACCTGTCATTACTGATCTGTGTTTCTTCACAAGAATCCATGCAAGTGAAAACGCGTACAGAGCCGTATTTACCAGTAAGCTAAAAAAGCTGGAACCTATGGCGGCAAATTTTATGGTACGGGCGGCAAATTTTGATGTTAATAAAAATAAATAACAAATAAATTGTTTAAATTATGTTGAATTAAAATCATGTTTATGTGAGTCATCAAAAATAAATATGCGGTCATTTAGTCTTTATTCTTTTGTTGTCTGCAGAGTTATATTTATACGGTGTACTTAAAATATATATTATTATCAGCATTATTATCAAACATCATCTAATAGTAATGTTAAAAAATGATAGATTCGTGATGAAAAGTTTATTATGATAGGCATGTAGTTTTGGGGGATCTGTCAGATGATCGAAGATGATTAACTTGAAATTGAAAGTTTACGATCCCGTGGATGAAAATTTTTTCACATTTTGTGCTAGCATTCTGATTTTTGTTAGAATTAATTAAAGGGGTTGTTAAAATGGTTTTTAAAATGTTAATTGATTTTTCAAACAAAAGATAAACCTTATTTTGGTTTACAACTTAATACTTCGAAATAATAAATCATCAATTAAATTTATTAGTGCCAAATTTTTAAATACGTCTCTGAACCGGGGCATCGACACCAGAACTGAACCGTAACTGAAAACCGTTAAAAACCGAAATTTTGCTCTGAACAAGAACAGTAGCCGAACCGAAATATTATTTTTGCTAGCTTAACAGAAACCGAAAACCATAACGGAATAAATAACGGTTCGATGCGAAAATTTTAAAAGAAAACATTTTTGTCAAATTCAGAAAAAATATTTAGGTAGATAATATTTCGTCTTTTAAAATTCTACGTTAATTTTTATTATCTTTCTTTTCGTTTGCTTTTCGAACTGAGTTCGCCGATCATTTGAGTAAGAATTGCCACGTTAAAAGTAATCAATATAATCGGAGAAACTAGAGATAAAGTACGATCATCTTCAAAATCTTTGTAAATTACAGTTTGCAAAAAAGTTTGTGAATAATTTTAATTTTTACAGATTAATTAAATTTTTCGTTTTGTTTACTTTTTTTACAAGTAGGCCTATAATAAATTAGACATTAAACCGGCCGTTAAACTTTGCGGTAAAGTTGGAAATTCGCGCTCCTATCGGCTTACTCAGTAAACTTTACTGTCAACGCTACGCCGTTTTTTGCAATTTTAATTTTTTTGGGTTAAAATCGTAAACTTTAATGACAACAATAAACAAGACAATCTTTTATCTTTTAAAATTAAATTTAGAATGGGACGAAACCGAGAAAACTCCAGCCGAGAATTTTTTAAATATAATAAAACAACGGACAATAAAAGTACTTGTAATAATTGTAAAGCTGTTATAAATGGAGATCATGCTGCCAACTTGGCATGTCGTTTGAAACGTAACCATGATGAAGGGTTTGAAAGTGTTCAGCAAAGAAAAAAGTTAAAAGTATGATGAAAAAACAGCTATTGCCACCGAAAGTTTTCTTGATTACTTTTTTTTGAAGACAAATCAGAAAAACTTAATTTATTAGCTATTGCACTCCATCCTTCATTTGAGACAACATTGAAACTACAATGTGAGATATTGACACTGAGTAATTTTTATAGTGTTTGGGTGGATTGCAAACTAAAATTGAAAAATCTGAAAAATTTTTTTGCAGAGACTTTATCAAAAAATTTGAATGTAAGAGATAAGTTGTTATTAAACAATGAAAGCTTGTTGGGATCACTTTATTTAGATCCAAGATTTCAGATAGTGCTTTCTCTCACAAAAAATGCAATCATTGCAACATCTAAAGTTACTTTGGAATAAACTAGTGTTTTTACAAAAATCTGAATTAGAACTTATAGCTCCTTTAGATGTTACATCAAGTAAGTGAGTCAATTGATAAGCCTGTGGATGAATTTGAAGAGTTTCTAAAAAACAATGAAGAAGAAATAATAAGTGTTAATAAATTTTCTCCAATGTCTGGTGATGTTGATATAGAATATCTTTTAAAAGAGTTTGAAAATGTGCAGAGGTTAGACAACGAAAATGTGTTTATCAGTTTTGTGGGGAGAATAAAGATAAATATCCTCAGTTATACAAATTACTGTAGGTAGTGCTTGGAGTACCAGCTACACAATTGAGTGTGGAAAGATCATTTTCTGGATTGAAATTTATTCTCAGAAACTGCAGAAGTGGTTTAAATGAAAACATTTTATAAGATATATTAATAATCAGCGGAAATTTTCATCTTTTTTGAAATAATCATATATTTATATGAGTGATTTCAAAACATCTCTGTAATGATTGTTTTAGTTTGTTGAAAAAAAAATTAGAAATGTTTCCTTTTATACTGACAACATTTAAAAGTCATTTTGTTATTGATTTCTTATTATTCGCAAGTTGTAAAATTTCATTCAAATTGATATAGGGGTGATAGTCCGTTACATGTATTTAAGAATTACACTTGAAAAAATTAAGTTCCGAAGCGAAACCGAAAACGATAAAAAATCGATATTAGGAACGAAACCGGAACCGAACCGAAATTCGTTTTGCGGGCTAAACCGTAAACAGAAACAAAAAAATTACAGTTTGATGCCCTGCTCTGAACGCATACATCGCCAACGAACAGCGAGGATCTCTGCGTTTGAACGCAGTAACCGCTACATCACGTCGCTATTCATAACGCACAGTATACATAGTTTTATTCTTCCCAATACTGCAATGTAAAATTCGTTATCCTTTTTGCTTTATAATTTACGTTAATCTACAGTTTCAAAAATCAAATAAAATTGTTGCCAATATAATAAATATTAAATAAGAAATGAATGAGAATGTGAAATGAATAAGAGTTAAGTAATTAATTCAATTTTGAGTTGTCGTAATGTGTTGTTTGTTGCTGCATTATTTTTCGTTGTTGTGACTGCAGCAGTTGATTTTTGTTTACTATGACATAGTAGTAGTGGCGTATTATTTGTTGTTGATATTAATTTTGTTTTTCTATTTCTGATATAACCATTTTCAATATTTTATTTTTTGTAGAAATTATATTTACAATGACAACGAAAATGTACAATAAGAACGCCCACACTTATATACGATGTAACATTTAGGCGATGGAAGAACATAAAAGAACATAACCCACCACCATTGCCACACCACCACCACATAACGGCCACATCGCGTTAAAAGTATCTAATGTAATCTAACAGAAATATTAATTTAAAAATTAAAATAAAATTTTCAAAAAAGTTAATGGTTAAAAGCAACGTTATAGTTATCATCTGGTGAGTTCACGTTCGGAAGGGAAATTTAAAATTTCAGATGGTGTATTATCATTCATTGCCTGTTGTTTCTTCAGGGGAAGTAGTGATTCTTTGAGCTGTGTTGTGGTTGTAGTAGATGTTGTTATGGTTGTAGTAGTTGTTGTGGTTGTAGTAGTTGTTGTTGTGGTTGTAGTAGTTGTTGTTGTGGTTGTAGCAGCTGTTGTTGTGGTGGTAGCAGTTGTTGTTGTGGTTGTAGCAGCTTATAGTGTGGTTGTAGCAGTTGTTGTTGTGGTTGTAGTAGATGTTGTTGTGGTTGTAGTAGATGTTGTTGTGGTTGTAGAAATTTTAGTGGCTGTAGAAGCTGTTGTTGTGGTTGTAGTAGCTGTCGTTGTGGTTGTGGCAGCTGTTGTTGTGGTTGTGGCAGCTGTTGTTGTGGTTGTGGCGGCTGTTGTTGTGGTTGTAGCAGTTGTTGTTGTGGTTGCAGAAGTTGTTGTTGTGGTTGCAGAAGTTGTTGTTGTGGTTGCAGAAGTTGTTGTTGTGGCAGTTGTTGTGGTGTTAGCAGTTGTTGTGGTGTTAGCAGTTGTTGGGATGGGTTGACATCATCTAACTCAACACTTTCGTCATCATTATTTTCAAATGCATTATCTATTCCTGCGATTCCTTGTAGTTTCTTTTCTTTTACACGCCTGTTTTGAAACCAGTAGCAAACCTGCTTGGCATCCAGATCGGTTTCAGCTGCAATCTTCTCTCTTCGAATCGCGTTCAAAAATTTGTTCTTCCAAAACTCATTTTCTAATATTTCTCTCTGCCTTGGATTGTATGCGGTTCTGTGATGGTCTTTCGTTCTTCTCCCTCTTTTCACAGGATCTGAATTGTTTGCCGGTTGTATTGGTTGCTGGGTAAAAGATGTTTGTGAGTTTGGTTGTTGTGGTTGCAGCAGTGTTAGTTGTGACTGTTGTTGTGGTTGTTGCAGTTGTTGTGGTAAAAATGGTGGTTGCTGTGGTTGATGAAGTGAAATTTGAGGTTGGAGATCAAAAAATGGTCGTAGTAGTTGTTGTGTAAAAAATGGTGGCTGTTGTGAAATTTGTTGAAAAGGCAATTGCGGGCAATATTGAGGCTGTTGATTGAATCGATATTGATTAAAATTAAATTGCTGATGATAATGTTCCGGCACATTAGCTTGTAATTGTTGTTGTTGTGGTTGCTGCTGCTGTTGAAATGATGTTGCTAGTCGATGTGATTGTTTTGAAATATTCATTGGTTGGGAGGAAGCTGGTATTAGTCGTACTTTTTGATGAATAGACGGGTGCGTTTGTTGATGTATTTGTTGTTGATGTTGTCGGTTGTGATGTGATCCAATTTGTTGTAATTGTTGATTTAAAGGTTGTTCTAATTGATGATTTGAAAGTTTTTGCTGTTGCTTTGGAATTACCATCATTTGTTGTTGTTGTTGTTCATGAAAACTTGTGTCATTATACTGTTGTTGCCGCTGTTGTTGTTGCTGTTGTTGCTGCTGTTGTTGCGTTGTTGGTAATTGTGGAGCAAATAACCTTCTCCGTACTGTTAATTTTTGTTCTTGCAGTACTTGAGGAGAATTTAATGGAAAATTATGTTGCTGGATGAGTTGTTGTTGTTGCTCTGGTTGATGGAGTAATTCTTGTTCTATCAACTGTTGCAGCAGTTGATTTTTGTTTACCTCTGCACATTTTGTTTTTTCTTTTTCTTCCACATCTTCTTCTGATAACGGTTCTGCTCCTATAATTGAATATTTCGCAAATTCTTTTTCTAATTTTTCAAATCCTTCTAATTCAATTTCTAATTCATCTCCTCCCAGATATTTTACTGGACCTGCGTTATTCATTTTTGAAGAGTTATTTGCTTCCGATGACATTCTAAATTTAACTATGAAATAATTAAGTGATAGTTATGTTTTTAAAAAGCTTCTTTAAAATTTTTCAATATGATATATAATGAATTAGTTGGAAAATATATATTAGTGTTATCGGCTAAAATAAATTTTCCACAAGATAAATTAAATTATAATTCAGCTGGAATAGTCACATTCTAAGAATAATTTTTTAGGAGTATTACAACTGATTTATATACCATTTGCGACCAAGATCAGGGAGGTTGCAAAATTTGAAACTTTCTAACAAAGTCAAAGTTACGTCAAAGTTAGAATTAAAGTCAAAGACTAAGTTAAAGTCAAAGTTAAAGACAAAGTAATAGTGAAAGTTTGTTTAATTCGCAAATTTTTAACGATTTTTTAAGTAATAATTCTTTTCATCCTTCGTTTTGGTTTCAAATTTTATTAAAAGGGATGATGATGTGCAACCTTTCGCGTCATTTTGTTTTTTTATTAGACCGTAGACGCGATGGTCTAATTTAGACGTGGGACATATTAGGCTATCAATGATAGTTAACCATTTTTACATTAGGTTTATCAAATTTATTAACCGAAATAATAAATTACTTATAACATTTTTCAAATTTATTACAGAAATTTTTTCGTGTGTTAAAACGATCATCGAACGTTTGAACTTTCTAACAAACGTTAATGAGATTTTCAATGTAAAGTGGTGAAATTGTAATGGTAATGTTTACAACTTTTAATGAATACAACTTTTTTTTCATTCAGTTAATAAATTAAAGGTCAAAGTTAAGTTAGCTGCTTTGGTCAATTTAAATTCTGAGCTAGTTATTTGATAATAATTTTAGTTAAAGTTAATGTTACCATTCAATTTTGGGTCAAGTGGTCCTCGTGCTGAGTTTTTTAGTACAATTAGTACTGGTACTGAAAGTCGTTTATTTATGTTTAGTAAAAAAAATCATGTTTTAATTAAATCAGCTTGTCATGTTTTAAATAAATATAAACTCAGCTGAAACACCATTGGCAATCGCCAATGAGCCAACTTAGTATGAAATCGACAATATCGTCAAGCTAGGTTGAACCATGGATGTCTCGATATATCTTATGGATCAGAACTTATACTCAGGTTTTCAGATAGCAGGCGAACATTTCAACAGACGGCATACTGTAATTTTTATTAACACACTGCAAACAGGGTTAACAAATGATATAATTTCACAATATAACGTAATTTAACGAGGCATAACGAAGATTTTCATCGTGCTCCAAGAAGACAGGACCAAAAAAAAATTATGATGATAATCTTCAAGTTTTGACGCGGTTCTGTTAGTTTGTGTGGTTTTAAAAGATAAATAAAAAAGGAATCGAAAATTAATGAGGAGACAAAAAGTCTCCAAACAATATGTGCTCATGATTACGCCCTGTAAAATTGTTGAAATAGGTACAGTTCATGCGCAATTCTGTCTCTTTCTTCAAAAAACTCGTTTCGACTGAATTCTCACTCCAAACCGTGAAAAATTTCATCGCTGTAACCTACACGGTAAACTTTAGGCGTACTAATCAATTCTTCCGCATTCATATCTTTTCTTATTTTTTTTACATGTTTTCATCCTCGCCATCTATTTCATTCCAATCCAACAACTCATCCGGACGATCAACCATATCATTCGAAAAATTCATCGTGCAGATGTTTAGTAGCTCCTGTAGGTACGTTCAGTTATTGCTTTGGTCCTGCAGTATTTTTCAATCATCATGGTCTCGTTGTGTCTAATGATTATTTCTATCCTGTAATGGTAATTTTTAACGTTGCTTTTGAAGTGATATAATAGAAATATCGTCAGATGGCTTGTCATTACTGATCTGTGTTTCTTCACCAGATTGCTTCTAATCCTTCGCATACGCGTCAAAAAGCAAAGTGAGGATCTTTAGTAACCATACATAAAATAATAAAGTTTACAAAGTTTTATTCTTCTCAAAACCTCAATGTAAAATACTTAATTTTTTTTTATAAAATTTACGTTATCTTACAATTTTAAAAACAAAAGTTAATAAGTAAGCAATTAAATAAAAATGAAAGTTTCGAATTTAATTTATTCGAAAACTACTAGTCCTACTACCACACTGATACATAGACTGCTATTGCTTCTTTCACTACTGTCTTTGTTGTTTCAGTTTGTACTTGTACAGCCGTACTATTTGTTGTTGATATTAATTTTTTTTTCATTGTTCATAACAAAGAAAACTATTTCTGATAAAACCATTTTCAATATTTTATTTTTTGTAGAAAATATATTAACTACGACAACGAAAATGTACAATAAGAACGCGCATACTTATATACGATGTAACATTATGAAGATAAAATTAAGATCTCGCGTTAGTGAAAAATCAGACGGTATATTATCATTCATTGCCTGTTGTTGCGGTTGCTGCTGAAGTATTAGTAGTTGTTGTCGTAGTAATCGGTTAGGTTCAAAAATGCGGTTGTTGATCTAGTAGGGATATCT